CAGAGGTAATTTGCGGGAATCTAGTACTGCATAAAACTGATAGTTTACACGAGTTAGCCAAACACCAATTACTCCGATCGAAAAATCGCTAATTCACGAGAAAATCGAAACATTTAGTTTTGTCAAAATTAAGCAGAAATATAAATAGATTGGAAAAATTATTGAAGTCGTAAGCGGCATTTATTCGTTCCTTAATCGAAACATGTTTTTCTCGCCGAAAATAAGACGTCAATCGGAGGGCCGGCTAGCAGTGAGCATTTGCGAAATCAGGCAAAAAAAATGGAGAGAACTCGACAGCCAACAGCGGATTACCGAGATCTGAAATCCTGAAGCCCAACCTTCGGGTGAAACATTTGAATCGCAAAAATGAAAAACCTTAAATTGGGCAGGCTAGCAGAGACCTTTTAGGACAACTTCTGGCAGAGCATATAGATAGTATTTAGGATTTTAAAGGGTGAGTGACAGCCGGAACGGGTAGACTAGCAGAGATTCTTTGCGCGAATTTTTTTCCAAAAAACCTCAAAGCTAAATTATCCGGACCCCAAAAACCGGCAACTCAAGCCTGGTCCGAAACATGTTTTTCAAAAAAATTTATAAAATATAGGAAATTTTGAAAATTTAAATTATCCAAAAATCGATATTTTTGTGTCTTTAATAAATATTAATATAGTTTTTACGCTTAGAGCTGGTAAATACAGTTTAACACCACGTCCGTTATTTTTATTAGATAAATTATACAAAGAAAGAAGAGGCATCGGAACACCTTTATTACTTGGAACGCAAAAACGCGCAACACAAATTTAAGATGAAACATTTTAATTTAAATTGGAAATGTTAATTGAGATTTTTAAGTCACGAGCCGGCTAGCAGAGAGAATTTAGGGGGATTTTAAAGGTGGCATGACGGCTAGCCTAAAAGGTCAACTTGCAGAGGAAATTTGCGGAAATTTGGCATCATGAAGGGCTCAAAAGTGCGAGAATCGGAAACCCTGAACAATTGCTCCAAATACGGTGGTTCTAAAAATCTACCCCCCAATCCAGGCCTGAAACATTTTTTTCGAAAAATCGAAAAATTTTAAAAAATGATACGGGCAGGCTAGCAGAGACCATTAGGGATATTTTAAAGGCGGTGTGACAACTAGGAAAAGGGCAGGCTAGCAGAGAAAAATTTGCGGTAAACCGACGAGAACTGAATGCGTAATGTAAAATCCGGGGCACCGGTCAGCTGCCGAATTTTTGAGACATTTCTTCTCAAAGATTCAAGGATTTTGAAAAATTATTTCGAAGGGCAGGCTAGCAGAGGAAATTTGCGGAAATCTGGCTTCAGAAAAGGTTTAAAAGTTTGAAACTTCGAAAAATCGGCTAGCAGTGGCCATTAGGAATTGTTAAAGGGGCCATGACAGCCAGGGAAAAAGGCAGGTTAGCAGAGAGAATCTGCGGAAAGCTGATCGGAAAATCCTAATCAATTTGCAATTTATTGAACTCGTTTCGAGGGCTCGCAGAGGGAATTTAGGATTATTTAAGGTGGTGAGACAGCGCGGAAAAGGGCCGGCTAGCAGAGGAAATGTGCGGAAGGTCGGCTGGAACTGATGCGGCAATGTGATGAGGAAGGTTGGCTCGAATTACGCGCTCTAAATTGGCGAAACACGGCCAAATTTCTGAAACATTTGTTCTGAAAATCCCTAAATCTCGCAGCAATGGATGTTTTTTTCGTTTTTTCGTTTTTTCGTTTTTCGTTGGTTTTCGCAGAGGTTTTAAAGGTGGCGTGACAGCTAGGAAAAAGGCAGGACAGCAGAGAAAATTTGGGAAATTATAAAGGTGGAGCGACAGCTAGAAGAAGGGCAGGCTAGCAGAGGGCATTTGCGGAAAAAGACAAGAAATAATTACGTTATTTAGTATCAAGCAGGAGCGTAACCGAATTAGACGTTTTAAACCCGCGGCAACCCGTAAATTTCGTACAACATTTTTGTAAATCCGAAATCTCGAGCGGTTATTTCCAAGGGGTAGGCTAGCGGAGAGAATTTGAGAAGTTTTAAAGGTTAACGGTAGCTCGATGGAAAAGATTGATCTATTGCCAAGACGCGTTAGCCCATTTTTGGGTAGAAACATTTTTTTGTTAACGAAAGTCCAAAATATAGAATAAAACTGGAGGCGGGCTAGCAGGGACAATTTGTGGAAATTACGAAGCAAGATCACGAATTACGTCCTCGAAATCGACGACAATCCACAAATTTTTTGAAACATTTTTTCCGAAAAAGCGTCATTTTTCAAAGATTAAGTCCAAGGGGAGGCTAGCAGAGGCCACTAGGGAAATTTTAAAGGTGGCGTGACAGCTGGAAAAAGGGCAGGCTAGCAGGGGCAATTGCGGAAAACGGACAGAAACGGAATACGACATTTGAAACCAGAAGAAGTAAACTTTGGACGAATTAGACTCTCTAAAGGCGCGGGGCCCTGCCAAATTTTTGAAGCATTTTGTTTCGAAAAACCCAAAAATTTTGGAAAATAAAAATTTCTACGGGGCAACTAGCAGAGGCCATTTAGGATATTTTAAAGGCGGTGTGACAGCTAGGAAATCATCATTTGGGAGGAACGAAATGAACATCGAAAATGGTCAGAAAAATCGATTCTTACCCCAAGGTACCCGCAAAATTACCAGGAACTCCAATCCCTGAATTATCCAGCCTCTAAGCCGCCCCACCCACTCAAAGTCTGAAACATTTTTTTCGGAAAATATCTGAAAATCAACAGCATAGGAAATTCAGCAAACTGGCGCGATTTTGAGGCTTTCAAGGGACGGTGACAGCTAGAGAAGGGCAACCGAGCAGAGGGCATTTGCGGAAAACGGGGGCTAGAACTGGTTACGCAATATAAAGTTACCAACACTACGAATCAGAGAACTAATAATACACACGCTAAACCGGCGCGATCCCGCCGAATTTTTGGAACATTTTTCTCAAAAATATTTTAAAAACTTTTTCGTTTCTTAACGCAATTTTTTCTGATTTTCAATGTGTATTGTTTTGGGTAATTTTACAGGTTTTTATCTAAAATAAAAATCGAAAAATGGATACCAACAACAGCCTAAAGCGGCACCTATCAATATTTTGAAACATTTTTATACCAATCCCAAGATCCAAAAAATTAATTCGACGGGCAAACTAGCAGAGGGCATTCGCGGAAAACGGACAAGAAAGGAATACGCTATTTAAAATTAGACAGGACCTTGCCGAATTAAAATCTCTAAATCAGCGGCAACCTACAAATTTTTTTGAAACATTTTTTATTCCACCCAAAGATTTTGAAAAATTAATTCCAAGGGCAAGCTAGCAGAGGCTATTTGAGGTATATTTTAAAGGCAGTGTGACAGCTGGGAAAGGATTTTTTGGACGGTCCAAAATTGACATCTAAAAATCGATTCGGTCCCTAAAAACCGGAAAACTGATGAAAACTGCGATCGAGGGAATATCCGGCCTCTAAGCCGCCCTACCCACCCCAAGTCTGAAACATTTTTTTCGAAGATAGGCGAAAGGCAGTAACTTGCGAAATTTAACCAAAATTGGTCCGACTTTGAGGCTTTTAAAGGGACAGTGACAGCTCGGAATAGGCAGGCTAGCCCAGGCAATTTGCGGAAACGCACTGACCCTAAAGATAATAAAACCTTGATTCTAATCGCGCGATTTGCTGAACCAATTAAACGTAGACCGGGCATCGTCCAGCTACGCTTAAAATGAAACATTTTTCGCAAAAAGTAGATTTTCGCGAATTCTGAAGGCAGGCTAGCCGCGATTATTTAACATCCAGCGAACTTGATTTGGGCGGTTTTAAAGGCAGTGTGACAGCTAGCAGAAGGGCAGGCTAGCAGAGGCAATTGGTGGAAATCTGGCTTCAGAAACGGGCTACAGAAAAACAAACAATACGATGGTTCTAAAATCCCGCACCCAATCCAAGCTGGAAACATTTTTTCGAAAAAATCAAATTTCGGCGAAATCTCGAGGCAGGCCAGCAGCGATTATTTAGGATCCATCGAGCTCGATGTAGGTTGTTTTAAAGCCAGCGTGACAGTTAGGAGAATGGCAGGCTAGCTGAGGAAATTTGAGGAAAACCCACAAGAAAGTATTACGGCATTTGGAATCAGTAGGGGACGTTTTGGAATTAGACTCTCTAAAGATGCTAGACAAATTAATAATAGACCATGCATCGCCCAGCTACGCTTAAAATAAAACATTTTTTCGAAAAAAGCAGATTTTCGCGAATTCTGAAGGCAGGCTAGCAGCGATTATTTTAGAATCAAGCGTGCTTGATTTTGGCGGTTTTAAAGGCAGTGTGACAGCTAGAAGAAGGGGAGGCTAGCAGAGGGAATTAGTGGAAATCTGGCATCAGAAAGAGCTCAAAAGTTCCGAAATTGGAAAAAGTAGCATTTCGGTGCCAGCAAGGAGAACGGAATTACGCTACCTAAAGCGCGGGAGCCTGCCAAATTTTTGAAACAATTTTTAATAAAAATCGGAAAATTTCGAGAAATTATTTCCAAGGGCAGGCTAGCAGAAGTCATTTATAGGATTTTAAAGGCGTAGTGACAGCTCGGGAAAGGGGTAGGCTAGCAGAGAGAATTTGCGGAAAACTGACGAGAACTTATCACGCAATGTAAATCGTAAGATATAGTCGAATTACACCCCCTGAATTGGCGCAAACTTGCCACATTTTTGGAACATTTTTCTCAATCAAAAAAAAAATTAAAAACTTGCTTGTTTCTTAATGCAATTTTTTCATAATTTTTAATGTGTAGTGTAGTTTAATTAATTTTTATTTTATCTATATCAAACAGAAAAATCGAAAAATTACAAGAAAAATCAATAAATTACGATTTGAAAAAGTGAGCAATCTTTGGCAAAAAAACCATTTTTTTCGGTATTTTAAAGCCTGGAGATCCAGCAGAGATCATTGGGGAATTTGTAAAACAATTTGGAAAATATAAAAATTACTGAAAAATCGATTTCCATCTCAATTCTCGGTCTCGACGACCTCCTCGGCCACGTCGATCGACTGCTCGGCGTCGTCGAGCTGCAACGGAAAAATAGTCAAATTAGCAAGAAAAATATGTTTTAACAATTAAAACGATTAAACTCCCGATTTTAACGTCTAATTATCGTTCGAATTCGAATTTGAAAAATTGGAAAAATACTTTTAAATCGGGTTTTGTAAAACGTCTATTCGTCTTTAAATGTACAATTATGAAAGTTATCAAAAATTAGGCAAAAACTACCTTAATTTAACGTTTTATTGTTAGAAAAATCCTCAAAAAATCAAAAAATTAAAAAAGGAAAATTCTACCTTTAAAAATAATTCTTTTAAATCGGGTTCCTTAATCTTTTTAACGCCGTCCAATTATGCAAAATAAATAAATAAAAAAACACAATTTTACTTCTAATTAGTCAAAATTGGAAAATACAAGATTTAAAGAGTTAAAACATTAAAAACGGCTTCTTCAATATTTATTCCTTTTAAATAGGACCTGATGCATCTCCATCTGCTCGTGCATTCGGCGCGCGTCACTCTCACTGACGTACCGCTCCTCGATGATGTTCTGCAAAAAAATACAAAAATTCTAGAAGAAAATTAAATTTCAAACCTTCTAAAATTCCTTTTGAGAGCCTTTTGAAAAATGATGTATCAAAAATATAAAAGTCCGGAAAAATTTCTGAGATTTTACTTTCTCCGGCTTCAGAATTTTCACTTAATTAAACGTATCAAAACAAAGCCAAAATAAAACATATCCCAAACAATAAACTTCAGTAATCATTTACCTCAATCTTCTACATTTTTAGAACTCTCAAAAATCCAAAAATTAGTAGTAGTTAATTTAGTTAGTAGTAGTTAGTAGTTAATAATAATTTTAAATACAGAATTCCAAGACGCTTTTCAAGACTTTCCAAAGTTTAATTTTAATGGCAAAAAAAAAGCCAGAAAAAAATTGAAAAAATGCGTTTCAAAATTCTAAACATTTGACCAGGGATTTCAGTTTTTACTATAGTAGGATTCCGGTGTACCCAAATTTTAAGTTCATTCAGTAAAAATTAAATAAGGCAATTTAAAATAAAAAAATTAAAGGCTACATCAAAATCACGAAAATTTAATTTCATAATTTAGCAAAAACAAATTAAAAATCACAATTTTTATCAAAAATGTTTCCAAAAATACAAAAATTTAAAATAATTTCAATTCCTAATTTCCACTCGTACCGTATTTGCCAAAATTTAAATTTAATTAATTCAACCCAAATAAAAGTTAAAATAAAAAACACGAACCCCATGCTCGTCCTCCATCCGGATGCGGACCATTTCCCTTTTGCGCGTTCCGGGGAATTCCTGTTTACGGGGGGCCTTTTTCTCGGGGTGGGACAGGCGGTAGATGATCTTCATCCCCGGCACGGCGCCCGTCTGCTTCAGCCAGTCCCTGCAAAAAATATATAAAATTAATCACAAAAAAAATGATAATAAAATTCCGCAAAGTGCCGCTGCTAGCCTGCCCCCGCCTGGTTTATTCGATTACGCAACGAAATTCTGGCTTCATCGGGCCTTTAAAAAGGCTAACTTCCTCAAGAATCTCTGCTAGTCTGCCCTTGCCGATTTTATTTGATTACGTCACGAAATTCTGGCCTCACTGTTCCTTTAAAATGCCCCAAATTTCCTAAATTATCTCGGCTAGCTTGCCCTCCCTCAATAAACATCAATAAAAAATAAAATAATGATAAAATTCCACAAATGGCCTCAGCTACTCTGGCCTCTAATCGATCGTTCGATTACGCGATTTAATTATGGCGTTTAATTATGCCTTTAAAATTTGCCCAATAATCTCTGCTGGCCTGCCCTCTCATAGATTAGTCGATTACGTCACGAAATTCTGGCTTCACCGTCCCTTTAAAATGCCCCAAATTTCCTAAATATCTCCGCTAGCTTGCCTCCCCCAATAAACATCAATAAAGAAAACTAAAATACTAACAAAATTCCGCACATTGCCTCGGCTAGTCTGCCCACTAATCGATCATTCGATTACGCAGTTTAATTCTGGCTTCATCGGGCCTTTAAAAAGAATAATTTCCTAAAGAATCTCTGCTAGCCCGCCCTCTCATAGCTTATTCGATTACGCCACGAAATTCTGGGTTCATTGGCCCTTTAAAATGCCCTAAATGTTCTCCGCTCGCTTGCCCTCGCCCATTAATAAATAAAAATAAAATAATATATAGATATTTCGCAAATTTTCTCTGCTAGCCTGCCTCTAATCGATCGTCCGATTACGCGATTTAATTATGGTTTTACTAGGCCTTTAAAATTTCCTAAATTTCCCCAAAATCTGTGCTAGCCTGCCGTCTCAGAGATTATTCGGTTACGCGACGAAATTCTGGCTTCATTGGACCTTTAAAATGCCCCACTTTTTCTAAATTATCGCTGCCAGCTTGCCCAGAAATTGGGCCCTCAATTCCTGATTATCGAAAAATTACATGTTTCGGTCCTGAAATGGGTTGTCTATTTTTCGGGAGGAGCAATCAACAGAAGAGCAAGTCTTGGCCAATACCCTCTGGAAAAAAATGCCGAATTTCGTGAATGCCCTCTGGATTTGACAAATTTTGGAGCGGGTTTGAAATTTAGGCCCGTTCTAACCTATTACGCCATTAAATTCTCCCAAATTTCCGCTGCTAGACTGCCCACATGGTTCAGAAAAGGGGGGCCCCCTGGGGACAGGATGCAGAGCGCAGACACGAGGGCAGACAGGCAGGGGAGGGGTGGGGCGCGCGATAGCAGACGGCCGGGCTAATCTTTCGTACACACCATTTATGATTCAAACGCGCGGGGATGGGGGCAGACAGCCAGAGGGAGGGCGAGAGTGCCGAGACCCCTTCTCCATCCTGTCCCCGCTCGACGAACCTTTTTCGTATGGCTCTGAACGCTGTGTGCCTGGTTGGGGGCCATTCGATTACGCCATAAAATTCCGTCCCATGTCCTTGCAAAATGTCGAATTTCCTAAATGCCCTCTGCTAGATTGCCCCCTCAAAAAATAGATTAACTTTTTTCAATTTTTCGTTTTCAAAATAATAGGTTTCGCGCTAGAAATGGGCTCTGGAATTTGGGGAATCGAGTAATTGATGAAAAAGTTAAGTTAGGGGATTTCATATTTCCCCAAATTTCCTCTGCTAGCCTGCCCCATTCCCTGCCTGTCACGCTTCCTTTAAACCCCCAAAATCAGTTCTCCTAAAGGCTCTCTGCTAGCCTGCCCTCAAAAATTAGAGTTACAAATACAAATTTTCACGCTTGAAAAAAAAGGTTTCAGCTTAGAAATGGGCTCTGGAATTTAGGGATTTAGTGAATGCCTTGTCGTCCCCCTTGTTCTAGCCTTTCCCAAATTTCCTCTGCTAGCTTGCCCCATTCCCTCTGCCTGTCACGCTCCTTTAAACCGCTAAAAATCCTCAAATTGCCTCTGCCAGCCTGCGCGGCCCGTTGGAACCTGTTAAGCCATTAATTTCTCCCAAATTGCTTCTGCTTGCATGCCTGGTTGGGGCCATTCGATTATTTTTCCAGACAGAGTAAGGATCGGGTGTTTTCAGAAAGGAATAATACATCATCTAGGAGTTGGTTGTCAAAATACTGCAAATGTTAGCAGGATTTCCCAAATGATCTCTGCTAGCCCGCCCGTTTCCTAGCTGTCACACCCCCTTTAAACCCGAAAAAAGCTCAAATAAACGCCCGAAAATGCCGGAAAACAGCGAGAAAACTTCCTAAATGCCCTCTGCTAGCTAGCCTGCCCCGAATATGTAATTTCTCGCTTTTTCAAAAATTAAATGTTTCAATACAGATTTATGACGCGGTGTTTTGGGAAGGGATAAGATAACGATTTGCTGCGTCATCAAAAGACTGCAAATATTAGCGGGATTTCACAAATACTCTCTGCTAGCCTGCCCCCGTTTCCTAGCTGTCACGTCGCCTTTAAAACACCCGAAAATCTGCATTCAATCTTCCTAAATGCCCCCTGCTAGTCTGCCCTCAAAAAGAACAGGGTTAGGGCTGTTTTTAAACTTTACAAAAAGAGGGTTTCGCGCCAGAAGTGGGCTCTGCAATTTGGGGATTACGGTAATCCCTCCTTTTCAGTAGCTTTTCCCCAAATGGCCTCTCCTGACCTGCCCCGTTTCCCAGCTGTCACCCTCCCTTTAAAAGTCACTAAAATCGGCGGAAAAGCTCTCCTAAATGCTCTCTGCTAGCCTGCCCTCGGGTTTTGTTTTTGGAAATTGAAATTTCGATATTTTTGCAAAATTTCCATGTTTGATACAGGATAGGGATGGGGTATTTTGGAAAGGAGTAATTCTTGCTCCAAGTGACCTCAAAAATACTGCCAAAATATTAGCGAGATTTCCTAAAAGATCTCTGCCAGCCTGCCCCTTTCCCAGCTGTCACCCTCCCTTTAAAACCCCGCTAAAATCGGCGAGAAAACCTCCTAAATGCTCTCTGCTAGCCTAACCCACGCTCAAAAAAATTCACTTTTTGAAATTTTTTCGTTTTGAAAAAAATAGGTTTCGTGCTAGAAATGGGCTCTGGGATCTGGGAATTCCAGTAATGATCTTTAGGCTTGATGCGGAAAAAGTTAAATTAGCGGATTTTCGATTTGCCCCAAATTTCCTATGCTAGCCTGCCCCATTCCCTGCATGTCACGCTCCCTTTAACCCCATCAAAAATCCTCAAATTACCGCTGCTAGCCTGCCCCCCCGCGTTCTAACCTATTACGCCATTGAATTTTCCCAAATTTCCTCTGCTAGCCTGCCCGGTTCGGGGCCATTCGATTACGCCATAAAATTGCGTGCCAATGCCCCCGGGAAAAAATGCGGGAATTCCTAAATGCCCTCTGCTAGCCTGCCCTCGGAATTTTAGAAAATTTCAGGATTTACGAAAAATGAAGTGTTTCGATACAGAATAGGGAGGTCGTAGTTTGGAAAGGAGTAATTCTTCAACAGGATCAGCGAAATCAAACCAAAAACTGCAAATATTAGCGGATGATTTCCTAGATGATCTCTGCCCGTTACCCCATTACCAAGCTGTCACGTTCCCTTTAAACCCCCCCAAAATCCGTTCTCCTAAAGGCTCTCTGCTAGCCTGCCCTCAAAAATTAAGGTTACAAAACGATTTTTTCGCCTTTAAAAAAATAGGTTTCATTCTAGAAATTGGCTCTGGAATTTAGGGATTTAGTTAATGGTTCGTAGTACTCTTGGTTCTAGCTTTCCCCAAATTTCCTCTGCTAGCCTGCCCCATTCCCTACCTGTCACCCTCCCTTTAAAACCCCCAAAGAATCCTCACATTTCCTCAGCTAGCCTGCCCCCGCCCTTTCTAACCCATTACGCCATCAAATTCTCCCAAATTCATTCTGCTAGCCTGCCCGCCTGGGGTCATTCGATCACGCCATAAAATTCCGTACTCATGCCCCCGGGAATAATGCCGGAATTCCCCAAATGCTCTCTGCTAGCCTGCCCTCGGAATTTTAGAAAATTTCAGGATTTACGAAAAATGAAATGTTTCGATACAGAATCGGGGTGCGGCGTTTTTCGAAAGGGGTAATTCCAGCACCAGGATTTCCCGAATGATCTCTGCCCGTCGCCCCATTAACCAGCTGTCACGTTCCCTTTAAACCCCCTAAAAACAGCTAGAAATCCTTTTACTAAAGGCTCTCCGCTAGCCTGCCCCTCAAAATTAGGGCGATAAATTAGTTTTTCACGCTTAAAAAATAGGTTTCGTGCTGGAAATGGGCTCTGGAAATTCGGTCAAATAGATCGTTGAAGTAGCAAGTCGTTGAAGCGCGTCTTCCCTAAATTTCCTCTGCTAGCCTGCCCCATTCCCTACCTGTCACGCTCCCTTTAAAACCCAGAAAACGCCTCAAATTTCCTCTGCTAGGCTGCCCTCGGAATTTCTAGAAATTTGGAATTTTGAAAAGTAAAATGTTTCGAGGAAGACTAGAGGTCTCGTATTTTGGAAATGAGTAATACACCGTCCGTTTTGATTATCCAAAAACTGCAAATATTAGCGAAACTTCCCCAATGATCCCTGCTTGCCTACCACTCTGCCCTAGCTGTCACCCTCCCTTTAAAATCCGAAAAAACACCGCAAAGTGCCTCTGATAGCCTGCCCCCCAGAAATTAGTCCCTCAGAATTTGTTTTCAGATTTTTTGAAGTTTCCAAAAAATGTAAGTTTCGGCCCCGGAAATGGGTTGTCCATTTTTAGGATCGGGTAATCAGGTCCAGACATGTGCCGGTAAATTTAACCCAGATTTCTACGCTTTTCGATTTCCCAAATTCCCTCTGCCAGCCTGCCCTGAAAATTTTGAAAAGCCTGCCCATCTTTAAATTACTTTTCCTATTAAAAAATAGGTTTCGTGCAAGAAATGGACTCTGAAATTTCGGGAATTAGTTAATGGTTGGTCGTCCTTCTCGTTCTAGCTTTCCCCAAATTTCCTCTGCTAGCCTGCCTTTTTCTCTAGCTGTCACCCTGCCTTTACACCCCGCAAAAACCCGCAAATTTTCTCTGCTAGCCAGCCCCCGCCCGTTCTAACCTCTTACGCCATTAAATTCTTCCAAATGCCCTCTGCTGGCCTGCCCTCGGAATTTTGGAAAATTTTGGGATTTTTGAAAAGTAAAATGTTTCGATGCAGAATAGGGATGTCGTATTTTGGAAAGGGGTAATTATTCCATCGGATTATCGAAATCAAATCAAATACTGCAAATATTAGCGGAATTTCGTCAATGCTCTCTGCAAGCCTACCCCTTCCCCAGCTGTCATGCTCCCTTTAAAAGCCCCAAGAATCAGCTTAAACCTTCTCCTAAAGGCTCTCTGCTAGCATGCCCTCGAGACCTCCGAAAATTTAAAAAATTCAAGCAGCCCCATTCAGCCCCATTCCCTACGTGTCACGCTCCCTTTAAACGGCTAAAAATCCTCAAATTACCGCTGCTAGCCTGCCCCCGCCCGTTCTAACCTATTACGCCATTGAATTTTCCCAAATGCCCTCTGCTAGCCTGCCCTCGGAATTTCTGGAAATTTCGAATTTTGAAAAGTGAAATGTTTCTAGGAAGACTAGGGGTGCGGTGTTTTTGGAAAGGAATAATACCTCGTCGGGCTTGCTTGCCAAAATACTGCAAATATTAGCAGGATTTCCCAAACGATCTCTGCTTGCCTACCACTCTGCCCTAGCTGTCACGCCCCCTTTAAAGTTCCAACGATTCCGCTAATTGCCTCTGCTCGCCTGCCCTCAAAATTGCTATCATTTTTCTGAATTTCCAAAAAAATGTTTCGGTCCCGAACTGGGTCGACCATTTTGGGATAAGAGTAATGACGCATCGACCTCATCCTTTAGTCTCCAATAATCCCCGCTAGCCTGCCCGTTTCCCCGCTGTCACGCACCCCTTAAAATGCTAAAAATAGCAGAGACGCTCAAATTTCCCCAATTTCCTCTGCTAGCCTGCCCTGCCTTTTCTAATCAAGTACGCTAGCAAAACGCGGCTATATTCCCTAAAAGTCCCCGGATTTCCCAAATTTTCTCCGCTAACTTGCCAATTGATTACGCTGCTTAATTTCGGACCTCGTTGGACCTAATTCCTCCACAATCTCTGCTAGCCTGCCCGTTTGCTGGCTAATCGATTACGCTAGCAAATCCTCACTAAAGGGGCCCGTTATAACCTTCAAATTCCCCCCCAAAAAAACTCTGCCAGCCTGCCCTCAAAATTTGCTATAATTTTCTGAATTTTCAAAAAAAAATGTTTCGCCCGAAAATTGGGTTGACCATTCTGGGATAAGAGCAATGCGCACCCCAAACAGCACGAATCCATCCCAAATGGTCTGTGCTAGCCTGCCCTGCCTCTTCTCTGTCCAATTACGCTAGCAAAACGCAGCTAAAAATCCCCGAATTTCTTCAAATGGTCTCTGCTAGCCTGCCCTGCCCTTGCTAATCGATTACGCCAGCAAATTCTAGACCTCGGGAGACCCAATTCCTCAAAGATCTCTGCGAGCCTGCCCTCAAAAATGACTGCAAATTTTCCGAATTTGCCAAAAAATGTTTCGCTGCCGGAGTGGGTTGGTGATTGCTGGGATTCGACATTCCGCAATCGAGTCAAAAACCTCTCCCTTTTGCTAGCTGGCACGCTCCCTTTAAAATCCGCTAAAACAAGCTCCAGTTCTCGAATTCCTCCACAATCTCTGCTAGCCGGCCCTGCCTAATCGATTACGCCAGGTAATTCCAACCTCAAAAGCACGTTAAAATTTTGCAAATCTCAAATTTTCTCTGCTAGCCTGCCCCCCCCCCCCTAATCGATTACGCCAGGCAACTCTAGACCTAATTCCCCAAAAAACTCTGCTAGCCTGCTCCCAAAAAAAAATCGTAAAAATGTCTCACTTTTGCATGGGATACAGCCGCATCGGCCTCGCCTCGCCATCAATATTCACGGGGGCTATGTGGTAGGGGAGGGCCGCTTCCGGTTGCTGATCTTCTTCCTGAAAAACACCGATTTCAAGGCGTTCAAAATTTTAAAAGCAAATTTCAGCCAGTTTAACGGCCCATTGAAGGCAAAAAGCCTAGGATAAAACGAGAAATGACTCGAAATTCACACCTCTCCTCCATTTTCGTCGACGTCAATCTGCGGCGCTGCGGAGGAGGGCTCTTCGTGCTGAAAAAATTCAGTAAAAAAAACACCTAGTTAAATTGTACCTGTATTTTGCGCTTCTGCAAGATGCTTGGGCGGGTGACCTTGTTGTACTCGAGCTTCTTCGGGTCGTTCACCGAGACCGACGCCTGAAAAATCGTTAAATCGGATCAAAAAAAATCAACGTTCTGAGTTTAAATTATTAAAAAAGCGTTTAAAAATTAAAGTTTAAAATTTGACAAGACCAAAAAAATTCAAGAAATAAGTTTCAAAAAATCACAGACAAAATGAAATTTAGAAAATGGCAATGGACGACGTGCGGACGCCTCAAAAAAAATTTCAAATCCGAAATGACCGTACCTTATACTGGACGGGCTTCTTCTGCAGCGCCGGGTCGCTGACCTCGGCCAACTTCTCCAGGTAGTGGATGAACTGCAAAAAAGCGTTGAAAAACATCAAGGAATTGTTTCTAAAATTTTTCCTAGTACTAACCCTCAAGACTTTATAAATCTATCAAAAATACAAAAAATATCGATTTTCTGGCCAAAAATAAGCGATTTTTCGGTCAAACTCTCGAATTTTGAAAAGGGTTAAAAGTTTGTTAGGGATTTTTTTCAATTGAAGCATAGGTAAACTTTGCTAAAAACTGACTAGTAAAGTACTAGGAGTTTTTGGATATATCTAAGAAAAAATTCGGCTTTGGCGCGTCGCAAAAACACCAAAGAACCAGATTTTTGCGCGCCACGCGACACGCAACGCTTCCGCCCGGATGATGTGACGGACGCGTCACGTGTCGCATCACAAAATCCCTCATATATCAATTTTGCTTCAAGCTTTTCAAATTTAGCTACCTCGGGCGGTGCCTCCTTGTTGAGATAGAGATGTGGTGCAAAGTCCTCGTGACTGGGGTCGCTGCTCGGTTTCCCACTACGGAAATGCACCGAACACACACGGTCGTGCTTTCCGCTCGCTTCCTGCAAAAAAAATGAAAATAAATAATTTAAAAAAATCGATAACTTAAGCCACGCCCCCTCAGCCTTGAATGGCCCTTTAGAGGCACCAAAGTCGCTTTTCAGGGGTCTGGAGAGCAAAAATCCATAGGCTCCGCCCCTTTTTGCTCTTCAACGGCCCTTAAAAACGAATTTTCGAGCTTTTAACGGCCCATTGAAGGCAAAAAGGGGCGTGGCCGATCGATTGTGACTTTCCGCTCCCTTTAAATGCGGGTTTCACCATTCTTAAGGCCAATTAAAACCAAAAACGTACTCGATTCCCGATGGCGTACAGCCACTGCACTCGTTTCAGCCCCGGCTCCTTCGGTACCCCGAAAAATCGCACGGAAGCGTACGCGTTCTTCCGCGTCCACCCACAAAATACGCAGCGTTCCATTGCCTGGAAAAAAAAAAACGATAAAAAAATAAGGTTTTCGTATCGAGCAGCAAATTGAAATAGAATTTCCGAAAATCATCAGATTCACGGCAGAAACATACAAATTAAAAAATTTGCAAATTTTTTGGAAAATGTCTAAAAATCGGAAACTCCGACAGAAACCATAAAATTCTAAAATCCAAAAAGCAATAAGGGAGAAGGAAGAAACATAAAATTTACAAATTAAAATTTAAAAAATTCCTCAAGAATGCCTTCTATCCTGCCAGGAAAGAGCAAGCTAGCAGGGATTATTTAGGGAGACTTACATTGAAAATTGGGTTTGCAAACTGTCATCGAAACAATAGAATTCTAAAATAAAAATCAACAACTAAAAAGCAAGAAACATCAAAATTATAAACTCTGAAATTGCGACAATCCCTCAAAGATCTCTAAAGTTGAAAAATTCCCTAATAATCTCTGCTAGCCTGCCTCGTCTGCTTCTCAAAAACCTCTGCTAGCCTACCAGTTGTAAAAGGCAAGGTAACAGGGAATATTTAGCGAAAAATCGCGTAAACTGCTAAAAAGATTTTTGTTCTTCAAACTCTAGAAATTCCTAAAAATTCCTCAAAAACCGCTGCTAGCCTGCCGCCAGAAAAAATCGGCCAGCCTCGCAGAGATTAATTGCTGCCAAAATCACGATAATCGAGAGGGGATCCGAAAGTTCTAAATGATATGCCAAAAACAAAAATCATCAGGTGCAGGCGGGAAACATCAAAATTCCAGCGCCAGAAATTTGAAAATTCCTCAAAAATCTCTGCTAGACTGCCAGGAAAGAGCAAGCTAGCAGAGATTATTTAGGGAAAAATAGGGAAACTGTCACAGAAAGAATAAAATTTTAAGAGCAAAAATCTAGAATTAAAAAGCAAGAAACATCAAAATTAAAAAATCTACAATTAGAAAATCCTCAAAAATCTCTGCTAGCCTCCTAGGAAAGGGGAAAACTAGCAGGGATTATTTAGGAAAATCTTAAAAACATGCTGCAAAACCATAAAAGTTTAAAATCATAACCAACAATTAAAAAGTGAGTAACATAAAAATTCTACTAGAAAATTTGAAAAATCCCTCAAGAATCTATCTATTGCAAAAACGGCAGGCTAGCAGGGATTATTTGCTGAAAAAAGACGAAATTTCAGACACAATGATATAAAAAAGCGAAGAAATTGAAAATTTGCCGGGGCAGGCTACACGGGAGAAACAAATCGTGCCAATGTCGCGCGCGAGTCGCGACCATTTTCGCGCACGTCTCGTGCACGAGACGGTACCGAGACGCGCACGAGACGCGCGCGACATGACCGCGACATGAACGCGACAGACCACGAGACGCGCGCGACATGATCGCGAGTCGCGCACGAGACGCTTCGCGGCCGGGCGGCTTTCGGCAGGCTATTAAATTGCATATTTTGTTTTTTTAAGGTGTAATTTGCTGTGTATTGTGTTGTATTTCACCAGGTAATCAGAACACAAGGTTTATTCGACACCGCGACATCCAATAATGCTCAATATCATAGAGAACAAGCGTAAAAGCATGAAAGAGCAAGGAAAAAAGGGGAATGAAGTGACAGTGGCAGCGAAATGCGTTTAGAGAGCTCGGAAGATGTTGGAAAAGTCGCCAATTCAGTGACTAGGTGTGATTTCCTTGCAATTTGAAGAAAAAGCTAGCCATGACCTAATTATAAGGAGCGTCCACGTGAAAGGAGGAGTGGTCTACAGGAAAGCTATATTATATGAAGCTGCAAAGTCGCCCAATCTTGTTAGGGCGCAGGAGAAAGCGGAACTGGCTTGCAAGAGGGAAGGAATTTCTCGACAACAAGCGCCAGGGTCGAAGCGTGCCGAACCCTGACTGACCTGCTCGAAATCCCATACCCCCGCTAGCTACATCGATTGATTAAGCCCATGGACGTGACGGGAATGAGGAGAGGAGAAGAGGAGGGACTGGTTGAAATGTTGCTTGATCTCTTTTTGCAGCTGTGGCCGGATGGCGAGCTTGATTCCGGGCGCTTCAGAATTCCGGCCTCGTGGCGCACCGTCTTCGTATCGATCCTAAATTAACCAATAGCGCATTCATTCGCCAAAGACATACCCGATCGCCAGACAGCTTCGTCAGTTTCATCCAGTAGAATAGACCCTATCGGAGTGCCCTTGTCGTCGACGGCTGGCCGTGTGCTCCGGCGTTAACTAAAAAAAAATCGTCGTAAAAGCTGAACAGTAATACCTAGGATGGCGATCGAGTTGACGGCCGATATCGATAGCCAGCTCGATGGCTACCGACAGAAACAAAAACGTTGTTTCGTAAGTCTTGACATCCATGCCGAGTTGAATCCGATGACTGGCTGCCCCATTCGAAGCACCTAAGAGAGGATAAAAAATTGTTTCCAAAACAAATCTCACCTATCGCCAAGGTGGAAACTGTAGGCGGCCAGTCTGGATCCACCCTCGTCCGTCATCACCAAATTAGCGCCTCGTTCGAAGAACCTATCGACCAAAATATTAAAAAAAAACAGCTTGAAAAAGTTACCTATTTCCAAGGTTAAACCCGTCGGCGACTTCTCTGTGACAACATGGCTTCTCTCGATGGCAAAACGGGTGGGGGACGTTGACGATTCCGAGTCTACATGAAGTTGCCAAAAAGGAAAGGTTACTCACCTGAAAACTCGTCCACCGATCCGCTGTCCTCCAACCATCTGCAACTTGCTCCCAGGGATGATTTCGTCTCCGTGGAATCACTGAAAGGACAATATAAACAATATATCGCCATACAATTAGAAAATAACGGAAAGAACAGAAAATCTGTTTAAAATCCTGGAAAAGAGACAATATTGTTATGAATTCTCAATTCTCAACTAAAGAGCGCGCAAAAGATGAGTAAAGAGCGAAACGAAAGATAGAAACTTTACCGGGACAAATGACTGCAAAACGAAAGTAAAAATAGCCAAGATTTTGGTCTGCCGAATTGTTTTGTGTCTGTGTGGAAATGACGAAATATTCGGTTGCAGCTCCATTGGCGCCTATCGACGTCGCGCGCGTCTCGTGCACGACTCGTGCGCGACTCGTGCGCGACAGGCCGCGAGACGCGCACGAGGTTGTGTCGCGGTAATGACGCGCGCGAGACGTGCGCGACAATCGCGAGTCGGTACCGTCTCGCGCGCGTCTCGTGCGCGACTCGCGCGCGACAATCGCGACTTGGCTCTCCCGTGTAGGAGAGATTTTTGGTGAAAATCGCAAATAAAACTGCAGACAACCGATTATCGTATTCCAAACCTCGCGCACCCAATTTCGGGGCGAAACATATTATTTAAACCGCAAAAATATCCAAGGTTTTAGTGCCCAAAGGGCGGGCTAGCAGAGAGCATTTGGGAAATTGCTGAAGGGAGCGTGAAAGCCAGAAAAGGGGCAGGCTAGCAGCGGCAATTTGCGGAAATGCAGCACTCCCAGAATTGCTCGTTGTTTTAGGAATTCTATTGGGTGGCGAATTAACCTATTTCGAAAAGCCGCCAACCAAATTTTAGAGAAAAGCATTTTTTTGCAAGAAATTCCTGGCTACGAGAATTCGATGGGGCAGGCTAGCAGCGAGCATTTGGGAAGTCTTAAAGGGAACGTGACAGCTAGAAAAGGGGCAGGCTAGCGGTGGTAATTTGCGGAAACCTGGAAAAACAAAGATAATATTTAAACAAGGCCAAAAACAAGAGGAATTACTCGAATCCAAAAGCAGCGCGGCCCACCTCGGAAACCAAACCTATTTTTTTGCAAAATTAAAAAAACTAAACCCCAGATGTTTAAAAAAATCCTCAAATCAGAAAGGCTGGCTAGCAGAGACGCTTTGGGAACGTTGCGAGGGCTGGGGCAGGCTGGCAGAGGCAATTTGCGGGAAATCGAGCCCCAGAAAAAGTCGATATATTCAAGCGATTCGCCACGAGGGATTAATCAGAAACCCGACAACCCATTTCATGGCCAAAACATCGATTTTCAAAAGTAGCCCCAGCTACGAGAATTCGAGGGCAAGCTAACAGAGAGCATTCAGGAGCCTTTAAAGGGAGCGTGAAAGCCAGAAAAGGGGCAGGCTAGCAGAGGCAGTTTGCGGAAAATCGGTGGTCTCGAAATCAGCTTTATAATTGGGCACCGCATTATGGGACAGTGATTACTCGATACCAAAAGACGACAAACCCAATTCTCAACTAAAACATATCTTTGTAACAAAATATTTCGTAATTTATCATTTGGCGCCGGGGGCAAGCTAGCAGAGAACATTTAGTAAGCCTTAAAGGGAGAGTGACCGCTAGGAAAGGGGGCAGGCTAGCAGAGGCAGTTTGCGGAAATACAGCACTCCCCGAATTGCACGTTGTTTTAGGAATTCTATTGAGCGGTGAATTAATCGATTTCGCAAAGCCGGCAACCCATTTCATGGGCAAAACATTTATTTTTTAAAAATCCCCCAGCTACGAGAATTCGATGGGGCAGGCTAGCAGAGAGCATTTGGGGTTTTTTAAAGGGAGCGTGAAAGCCAGAAAAGGGGCAGCCTAGCAGAGGCAATTTCGGAAAACACAAAGCTCAAAAAAATTGGAAAAATTCGTAACCGACACGGGACATCAGAAATTGCTCGAATCCCTGAAATCGGCACCCAATTCGGGAACAAAACATTTCATTTTTAAAATGGTTGCGAAATTTCGACCTTCGCCAATTTAGCAGGGGGCAGGCTAGCAGGGAGAATTTGAGAGTTTTTAAAGGGAGAGTGATAGCTATCAAAATGGCAGGCTAGCAGGGGAAATTTGCGGACAATCGGAGGTCACGACATAAGCGTCATAATTGGACGTGATCATTTGGGACGAAGCATTACTCGATAGCAAAAGACAACAACCCCAATTCTGAACTAAAACATATCTTTGTAAAAAAAAACATTTCTAAATTAATTATTTTGGCGAAGGGGCAAGCTAGCAGAGAGCATTTAGTAAGTCTTAAAGGGAGAG